CCTATATGATGGATAGTATCCAGATAATCTGCAATATCCTTCAAACACTGTAATTTCATCCTCCATGTTAGCTTGTTTATGTTTTGATCCAAATAAGACACGAGGCTACCGTTATTAGCATATTGCATAACAATTATGTATTCTTTTGTTTCTGTGTCTTGTGTGACTCCATAAATTTTAAGGAACGGCCATTTTTCATAGCACTTGGCATGATTTCTGAACTGTTAAATAGAAATAAATACAGAGTCAGATTAATTATCATTTAATTAATAGCATCAAAGGTTGCATACCTCAGAAATAAATAATTCTGGTGCTTCATCAAAGCTCTTAAAACGCTTGAGGACAACCGTTTCTGGCACCTGCTCTTCTCCATTATATTTGGCAGTATAGACTGTTCCATAGCCACCAGATCCAATCTCCTTAATTTCATCAAAGTCAGCATATTGCATATACTTTACTTTTTCATTAGTTTGTATAAATCTGTCCAATACTGCATGAATGTCATGGTAGAATACCAAATAGTATCCTTTAGTAGATGGCTCTTGCATGATACCAATAACCCAAATATTATCTGGAGTTAATATCTCTGGATATTCTTCAGTCAGCTATTTGAGTAAACAAAATGTGGTCGTTACAGCACTCGTGTCATGTATACTTAATATTATTTGCATTATTTACACGTGAAATAATTTACCTGATAAAAATCAAATGACTGAGCATTCTGTCCATCAACTATCTTTTTGAGTATCACTCTCATTGATTCGTTCATTTTCGGTTCTAACCAATCAGCTATATGTGTGCATTCACGGCGTAATAATGCCATCTCTTGTACGTTCGACAATAGAGAGTATTCTATCCATTGTATATACGCATCATATAAACTCTTCACATTATTCCATGATGCCATAATAAATGAATCCAAAAACTTGTTGCCAGTTGTCCAATCGAGAGGTCTTGGTGCTTTACAATGAAGACAGAATGCATTTATCTTAGGTTCTAACCGACGTACACACGCCAGACATATTTCGATCTCATCTTCTTGTTTTATTAGACAATACTTTTGTTCACGTATATCATGTGTGAATCCGATAGTAACCCAAACATCCATGGTAAGTTCTTATCACATAACTAGTGGAAATGATACATATAATAAATCAATAATTATTTAAACTATTCAATAAACATGACGCATAGGTAAATGGTTTACCTCGGCATAATATAAATCATGCGTCTTGTCTGTTATTTCAAGTGAAGTCAATTTAACATACGCACGAGTAGGTAGACCATACAAGTATCCATGTCCATATTCCGTATCATCAATACTATCAAATGGAATCCATTCCAAATAGGCATCATTTGCAGAGTTTGTTTGTAATTGAGATTTCTTAATAAACTCATCAAGTTGCTTATTGTTGCTAGTCCATCCATCAGATAATTGTTTATGTCTACAAAGGCACCACATCGGAGTATTCCACATGCGGAGCAGAATCCATATCGAGAATAACATTGGTAAAACTTTCTATTGGCAACCATGTAATAGTTATCTTCGTGCGCAGTAAATCCCGTTATTAGTGTATTGCGATTGTTAAGCCATCTCTTATATCGTCTAAATTGACTGACATCATCGTTGTACTTGTGTGCTGGAAGTGAGTATATTCTAGCAAACTCACTCACAAATGTTGATGTACACATTTCATCACGTCCAAGCCATAGCAGCAGCATTATCTTCTTTTCATAAACTCTACCATCATTTGTTTGCTTGCGAATACCGTAGCAGACGTTGTCAATTTGACTCGACTCAATGCCAATAATTTGCGAGTTAGGAATCCATTCAAGATTATGTTTACTCTCTAAGGAGGATTGTATCAAATTATTGATTGCTGGATTTTGGATACCCTCAACTAACGACGACGACATAAAAAGGTTTTTGACGATTATTGTGTTACATCGCAGCCACACATTGTATTAGTATTAACCATTTTAGTATGACAGTTGACACAACGATCGTTGTTTTCGTTCTCGGTTGCTATTAAGATGGACTCAGACGACCCATACACAGGTTTTACAACTATCTCTTTCGTTCCGTGTCTTCAATCGTTTAAACATTTTCCAGAAACCATAGTGTGCATTCAACAGACGAAGACCCAGAATATCGAAATACCCCCTTCAGATCGCCTATCCCGCACCCAACAGCTCAGACATGTCCTCGTTTGCCAACAAATTCCGACTCTCACCGTCGGGGTGGCCAGGAGGCACATGGTTCAAGACGGAACACGCGCGATTACGTATATTGCCGTAGAAGACTAGAAGCAGGAGGCGCATTGAGAGGATTAAAGATCAATGTTCGGCCGGTAAGGCAGACACTTTTTTACAAACGAGTTTTTGAGATTAGCGACTAAATTTGCGCGAAATTATAACAGAAATCAGAAGTAAAGTCCGATGGTTTTATGCCGTATTTACTGATTGATGTTCTATCGGCCGAAAAGGTTTGGTTTTTCTGGGTAATTCGTAAGCCAACGTCACATTTCGGGTATCTAACTAAAAGTCTAAAGTATAGAGCCGTCTGGGAGAGGCCCCTTACGAATTACTGACGGCTGCAAGAAGTAAAGCAAATCCGTACGAAAAGACGGGAATTTCGATATTTATGAATCGTTCCGCTACCAAACTCGCCCATTTAGATGCATTAAAACGACTCTCGGAACTTAAAAACGATGTACGGAGCGATAGGGTCTGTAAAAATAATTTAACGAATCGTTTCTTTACCCAGTAGTTTCTGTCGTTAATGTCCCGCTTACATTAACTAGGAATTCAGATTTGCCGACTTGTGTGGCGGTCCTGGTGGTTTCTCAGAGTATTTACTGTGGAGGAGGCGTACATCAAATCAGCCTGTTCGCGGTTGGGGTATAACGCTTGCGGGCGAACTTGATTTCAACATAGAGAGGTTTCATCCCGATACCCGTGTGGACGAATCGTTAGAAATATTTCATGGTGGAGACGGAACTGGTAAGCCAAATACTGTTTTAGAGATGGAATTGGAGAATGACGCTCATGGTGTTCTCTTCTCTTCTTAGGTGATATATGCAAAGAACGGAATATAAGAGAATTTGCTAACGTAATACTTGAGGCTACAGATGGCTCTGGTGTCGATTTAGTCACTGCCGATGGGGTAAGAATTCTCTGACAGCTTTCATCGCTACAGAGATTATGCTTGTTAATTAGGCTATTATGTTGCATTCTTCACAGGGCTTTCGTGTCGAGGGTAGGGAAGAGATGCAAGAGGAATTGACGAAACAACTACTTCTTTGCCAGATATTGATGATGTTTATGATACTTCGAAGAAGTAAGATTCACTTCCCATTCTGAACTCTAATAATTTCGATACCCGAATTAACTATCGTATGTCTTTAAACTAGATGGCGACTTTGTATTAAAGTTATTTGACGCGTACACGGCGTTTACAACTGGTCTGATATGGATCTTGTTTCGATGTTTTGACCGAATATCAATAATCAAACCGTTACCAAGTCGGCCTGCAAATTCAGAGAGGTGAGCACTTTGGCAATTTCATGTTACCAGTATGACTTTTGTGTTTATTTGAACTGCTCTCTCCATTCATAGATACTTGGTCTGTCAGGGTTTACAAGAAGAGAGACCAAAAGCAATTATCGAATATTTATTCGGCGTAAATAAAAAGTTTCATGAAATTAAGAGTGATGAGACAGAAAACGAGTTGGATGTCGTGGAAATTGTGGATTTTGATGAAATATCGTCTGACAATGAATTTATGGAATATTTAAATAACTCACACGCGAGGTAGAAAATTTTATTATTGACACGTGAAGTTGGTTTTGTTTTGTATTCTCTGACAAGTCTTGTGTTTTTTGACAAGGTTTGTGCAAAACCAGATAAACGCACTAAGGGATATGCAAAAGTACATTGATGAGCCGTATCCTTTTACTGAATCCGATACTAGTTGTCTGACAAGATCGGGCCATCTCTTATTTCTTTGACTCTCGAGTGATTAAAGATCTCTGAGACCGATGGGCCGTCAAGAGGAAAATAGAAGACAGTGTTTCTTGGAATGGAGAATTCCACTGTACGATTGATTGTACCAGATGAGTTAAGGGTGCGCGTACGTGTGGGTTAAAATGAAATGGAGATTATGAAAGTATACGTACGTGCCCACAAAGTTGGTTCCCAATTGTATAATAATGCTATTGAGAAAACAAACCAGCTTATGCAATTCTGCAATATCTGATTTTTTAGACTAAATTATCCTACGTTGCATTAATTTTACGTGGCCTGAGGTATCTATTTCTTTCAAACGATGTTATTGGTTTTGTGCTGTATCCGGAGAATATTACCTCAGTTCTCACAATATTTAACTCTTTCTTTGGGACTAGGTTCCCATACAGCTTTCTTAATCGGTATAGCTGACAGTTCCCCTTTCTTTAGATGAGCATTGCGGATATCGTGATTGAGGAAAAAGTGGCGAGCAGTGTCACTTACAATTACTTTTTCTGTATAAAAGGGTTAAAGGATATGCGAACATTAAGAAGTTGTTGATATTGATCGGAGTTTCATCTATAGTCGTCGGAAGAACAGCTTTTCGGAATCGGAATATGTGCCTGTTGTGATTTGGCATTACAAATACGGGCATGAATCACATAATAACGGTGGCCTGCAGTTTATCTGGAGACGGTCTTCTCCTAGACGTTCGCTTCAATAGACATCCCCAGAATACAGTCAACAGTTTTTTGAATATCCTATTTAAATCTGAATTTCAATTAACTGTAAGCGTTATTATTATTGTTGCTATTGAATAAAAACGAAAGTAAGAAATTGGACAACAGGTGAAAAAAATTGGCGGAAGGCATATTACATTCACAGACGAAAACGTCTAATAACGCTACTCTTACGACCATGTATGTGTTAGAAATACCCAATACCTTTGATTATCAGAAACCCAGGATCCCCTCCTCGCTTTTGCCATTATAATCCTATTTCAACATCTTTTCCATCTTCACGTGTTCAATTCCCTCCTCCAAGATCTCGACCGTATACCCAGCTTTCTCGTACCAATTTCTTTTATGCACTTGAGCATGCAATAAGCACCTTTCCATTCCCAAAACACTTGTAGCGTATAGCTCTGCCGTTGAAAGTAACTGCAGTCCGTAATCAGAATTACGCCATTGCGAAGAACGGCTAGCCGACCTATTTTGCACGTCGTGGAACGTGAGGATGGATACGGACAGTCCCAATCGATGCGGTGGAGAAAGTGGTGAGTGGTCGGAAGTGGATCGTAACTTTGCGGGAGAGCAGATGGACGTAGATGTAGGGATAGGTAGAAGAGAAATGCAATAGAACAGAAAGAGCGATAATGACAAATGATGTTGATTAATGGTATGATACAGCACACTAATAGGAAAAAAAAAAAGCGACTGACCGTAAAAATAATAGCTTACTCGTCGATTTCGCCTTCGATTGAACATCCTTGTTCTCTGACAAATACTTCTGTGCGGATATTATGGCATTTCTGTGAAAAATTATATACAAATTGCATTCGTTTAGCAAAGAGAAAGCACGCGTATCGATTCCATAAATGTTCGCGCCTCACTGGCAGTACCTTCGTCTGAGCTAACGTGAATCGTGTCCTAACACTTTGCAGATATAACCGGTTTTTTATTGGGGGACTTTTTATTTGCGAGTCGGCAGATTTCAAAAAGCGACAGTTTATTATATTTCTACTTTTGTCCTTAAGAAAATTCGTTGGTATGCAATGCTATTTCCCCGGTATCCCGAAATTCCCGTACTGTACCTTTGCAAATTCTGTACTGTACCATTTCATCAATCAATACGTACCAACTCTTTGGTGCGTACAACCCTTATAATATTGCTTGTTACGCCCCATTATTAATAGGCGGAACCCAATGGCGAGGGGAGTTATGTAAATATAGTTATTGGGAATGTGCTCTATCCTCTATTTGCATATAATAATAAACGAGTTGGTGTTTGGAGACAGTGGTATGTAAGAAATATAAAACAGTGAAGTAACTGTAGATTAATTGTTTACAGGGAGCTTTGCAAGTCTCCAGAGGAAGATTGCAACAGGCGCGCCACACCATGGAAACAAACCAGATTTTAGCATCCTCTAAGACTTTGTTGATGAGGCGGAGTTCTCAACTGTGCAGCAGATAAGAAAAAACACACTGATGGGTTTGCAAAGGACGGTCACAATAACTTGTGTCATACATTGTAATCTGATCTAATACTAACGCCTATTGAGAACTCCCATAATTATGCTGCAAGTTGCAAGTAAGTAGTACATTATATTAATATCGCTATTGATTATTTGTTATCTTATCTCTTATAGATGCAACAACAAAATTGCAGCTCTCAATGCATTTTGGATGTAGCTCAAAAGGACTACCTAATAGACAGTTTCAATATTCCTCTGGAGAAATGTGGAGGCCAGGCTGTTTGGGATTTTGTAAACAGAGTTCTGGTGATCATATTATGTGTGAGTAGTAATTTTTTAAGTTTATTGATTATGATTGATTCTTCATATCCAATAGTTACCTGAAAATGTTAGGAGTATTGTTATAGTTATTATTAGAACGTTTATCGTACAACTGATTAAGCTCTCGACGCTGTAAACTTTAATAAGTTCAGTGTATGCCGAAAGCTAGAGATTACCAGACTGAATTTCTACCATTAGAGAAGACATTAGAGATCATAGTGAAAAAGAACTTGGTGGAAAGCGGTTTGAAATCGCCCGTGCTGTAAAATTAGTAACTGATAGTATACCGCAAGAGAGTTGGCGTAGAAGGCTGAGACGATGTATAGAGGTTAAAGAGAATATTTTGAAGGAATGGAACAGTTAAATTATGTAAATAAAGATTTTATGTCAAAACTTTTTGAACGCCCCATGTACTTCCGCTACCTGATTTACAAGTCCTTGCTGATGTTATGATAGTGCTTTGTATGCGTCCGCTTTACGCATTACAAACGCTGGTGTGACAGGTTATGCAAAAAATCGGGGTCAACCGGACGTTTCACAAGTATTTAAATCTCTAGAAAAAAATCACAATAATAACGTGCCAAGAGTTACTAACCTGGATACAGAATGCTACATCATCTGGCAAACTCGAGAATCAAGGTAAACCCGGAGCTAAACAGCTTGACAAATATTTAAAATTCTACAGACTTATTCCGCGTTATTTGCGCAAAATTGGCGCAGTATATGCAATAGTAGCGCATGGAGCCAAAAATCTAGCTCACGCTATGACAATCGCCTTTTACCGCATGGACTTTAATTACGCCCTCTTCATTATAAATAATTTAGATGAGGAACTACTAGGATTGGTTTTTTTTTCTACGCATTCTGCAACGTCCTCTGGGAATAACTGAATTTCATATCGCCTTTATAATTCTCGACAAAGTTCAGGTTTCACTATCTTTAGTAATTGGCGGAGTGAAATCTGAATTTTTTTATTTAACATTTGTGAGAAGCGAAGTTTCGAGGCTTTGCCTCTCTAAGGCAGGATATGACTCTACCAGTAGAACTATGCGCAAGTATGTTGCCGTGTCAGAGACTCGAGGCTTTGCTGTGGTACCACTCTCTTCGTGTTTGTTCGATGTAATTTGCTCTGTCAAAGGTACGATCATTGTTCCGAATTTTTTATAGGCCGAAGAAAGGATAGTCGAACTGACTCAATGTTGTTATTATTTTTGTCTATTGTATATCTTAAATTATTGTGTATTTATATGTAGTAAAAAAAATCAGTTCGATTGAAATTCTTCCAGCAATAATTGTTCGTGGTATCACTCAGACATTTAATGAGCGGAAGTAACTGAATCATTGATTTATATAATAATTTCTAACTACGCCATTATTCGCTCGTGCATCACAATTATTTGATATAGTAATGACCGATTTGCTAAGCCTAGCCTTTTCGTAGAACTTTAATATAATAGAGATGTCAAACACATTAAATTTGAGTCTGCTATATCGCATTAAATGTTGCAAGTGATAATGTGCTATTAATCAATAACTAGATCGTCATGAATCGCCCGACGAAGCGTGAGAACCATTCGAAACATTGTCTACATTTTTTTTACAAAAGTAAGCAAACGGATAATTAAATAAATACAATCTGAAACAGAAAACGGGAAGGAAATAAGATCAACTTACCGCAATTCAAACCTCATTTTCCCAAGCTTCTAATGCGTTGAAAGCTTTTTGTAATGGATTTTTGATGTACGCAATATCTTCGGGGAAGGCTGTCTCGTCCAACTGTTTTCTTGCTTCTTCCGAGGACTGATTTTCGCTTCCGTGAAACATAATATTGCTTTTACCCCCCTTTATATCCAGTAGTTTCTCGAAATCTGAGATCGTCAAACCGACACTATTTAAAATACTCTTTAACTTGTTTGAAATCGTCGGTACGTAACTTTGATTGCGAATTTCAGATTTCCTTATTGATTTCTTCTCAATATAAAGAGTTGTCCTTAATATCGGCCATGAACTGAATTCCATCTTTACTCCAGCGCATCCTTAAAACTACTGACCCAATCTCTGTATGTGCTCAATATTGTTAACCTCGCTTGCATTTGCGTCGTGTAATTTAGTAAATCCTCCATAATACGCAGACATTCTTCCATGTATCCGTTTTGCTGATTGATCATTTGAAATATTTGTTCGGTGGAGTCCTTTAGCTTTCCGAGACTTTCTTTAAGTGAATCCCTATCGTTTTGATTGACAACATCGTAAATGATATCCTCCAGGTCATTGAAACGTTCTTTGAAGACGGTTATTTTTGTTCCAAAAGCTACTCGATGGGAGGTTATCCTAGATGACAAGTCTCTTACACTCGATCTTAGGTTATTTAGTTTTTCTGTGTCTTTCACAATCATGCTTTTTTGATGATCTAAGAAATAAAGATAGATTCATTATGGGATTTTTTCCATATGATTCTTCTACATCACAAACCGATGTAAGAAAGTAAAAAAGATAAGTATCGCATACCAAGTTTAATGGCGAGCGTTGGTCCATTTATCGTTTTTTTTTTTTTTTTTTTATTTGTTCGTGAACTGGGAATATACGGTATATGTATAAGATAGACAGACACGCAGTAACTTAAAAAAAAATCCAAAACGTTTACCCAGAGCTCAGCCACAAGAACATACGATACACAATCCAAGGAGGAGCAACTACGCCACAACAAATAAAAGGGGGGAAAGCCATACGAAACAGACCCAATTAAAGATTTTTTTTTCAGGATCATTTTAGTTTAGCAACGGCTATAAAATTTGGTTTGAGACAGCGATGAAGATATCGGGTATGGTGCAATTTTATTGTCGTAGGATCAATTTATGACGTGTCGATAAGTCATTACAAGGAGATCACCGGACTTTTATGCAGGTAGAGACATCGTTATGAGTTATGGAAATGCAATGCAATCAGAAGGCTCAAACGTGCAAGGGAGGTTGGTAAAAAGATACAAAAAAATTTCGTGGAGTGGGTTTATCGCCCTGATGGATTCAATGCTCGGAAACTCGCCTTACATTATGCACGTTTCCAAAATATTAGAACAGAAATACGCTGTGGTACCACTTCAGATTAGTAACGTACCTACTTGGCGTAAAATCTTATTTTATGTGTCTAATTTCAAAACATGGTCCCAACCCAAAGAGGATCTTCTTCTGCTCTAGTCAAGTCAATCACAATGAATTGTCGACCTTGCAAATTCTTACCGATTATATCAACGGCGTTACGCCATTTTTTTGTATAACGCCTAACGATATCAACCAGTTCATCATATGTACCCGCTCCGTTAAAGAGTACAATATAATATAAATTTTTCTTGTTAATTTCGGACAGTCGAAAAAATTTTGAGTTACGTAGATTGAACTGATGTTGGAGTGACGTCCCTCAATGAAGTAAGGGATGATTTTTCCTGTACCTTTTTAGGTTCACTGCATAATCTTCGAATATAACCACCGTCCACTCTTTCAGGAGAAAATTCGTCAATCTTTGGTATTTTGTCGGGCTTTATCGATCGGAACGTAACATTTTTGCGATACTTTGGACCATTCGCAATGAGTTTGTAACAATCCCTCAAATGGCGATATTTGGGTTCCTTAAGATGATGTCCAATCAACAATAGGTCGTCATTTTTAATATAGCGTGTTCCGCCTTTTTTTCCATGAGGCAGAGCCTCGAAGCTCCGCTTCTTAAACATCCGATACATCTTGTCTCCAAGTAGAAGACTGACAATAATATTCGTTTTTCCTGATTTAGTTCGTTCGCTGACCAGTAAATCGAAAGGCCATTGGGGTGTCGAATTAAGACTGTTAAACCTCTCTGCGTTCTCACACTCGTCAATGTGATAAACGAACTTTTCGCATTTGTCAAGCTTTTCGGTGCGAACCATTACGTTGCAGCGGATTTCATATTAAACGTTATTATCTTTGGTAGAAAATTATTCAATATTTATATTTGGGATGCGTTAGTATCTTACCTCCGCAAATAAAAACCCTTTTCTGCTAATGTATGACGGATGTAGGGTAAAAATCGCAAGTATACGGAATTTTAATAAGGTCTATACCTTGTTGCATACATAATTCTCGCTTTTTTTGATCACGATTTTTTTGGGATTCCAAATCGATCTTCTTATTTTATTCTAATTGTTACGAATTGGATTATCTAATAACGCAGTTACATAAAAACAATATTAGTATTACTGTGTTGTGTGAACAACAGCGGCTTACATTGCTGAGAAATCTAACAATTTAAAGACTTGACGACTGCGCATCAGCTATGGGTTTGAATATCACGTTCGTCGATTCATTGTCGTAATATGTGTGCGTCCGTGGGCGTAATGACGTCACAGAGAGTATTCAATCCATTGTATATAAGCATCATCGTATTTATTGCTCCATGAATCTGTTATGAATAAACCCAAAGACTTGTTGCCAATCGACCAATCAAGCGGTCTTTATGCTTTACAATGATAACAGAATGCATGTATCTTGAGCTCTAATTTATATGTACACGCCAGACATAATCCATCCTCACGTTTTATTAGATAACAAGTAAACCAACAATGTTGATTGTGAACAGACAACAACCAATTGCCTGAACGTAAAGTAATCTGACATTCTATACATTTATAACTTTGTAATGTATGCGAACATAACTTATACTATAATAACTTATACTATAAATATTTATGATGTATCAGTATGCGCAACATATTATATGATCATTTATGATAAAGTTTTTACGATAGAGTCGTGACTTTAACTACATCCGCGTTCATTATACTATGAAC